AAGAAGACACGTTCGAATCTCAAAAAGATCTACGATTTGAGCATTATTAAGAGAATTTAATGTCGTGATTAAGATTGTTTTCATTTGGTTTTTTGTAATCGAAGTTTTTTGATTGAATTAATAAAAGAATTGCTTTGTTATCATCTTCATTGCTTTCATCCCATGAAGTTCTGAAATAAGATATTTGAACTCATTTCAAACAATCGTTTAAAAATTATCTATCGATTAAAACATTTTTTGTCGATCTCAACAAATTTTGGAACCACAGCTGCAGCATTGTTAGTATATTGCACCTTAACCACCAACAGCCATGCATAAGTTCCCATCTTTATTTACCCCTCTCATGTCCCATTTTTCTTGAATCTATTTTCATATTTTTGTAATTACTGTGAGAAACAAAAACCCAAAGTGATCACCAACTTAGCAATATGAAATGAATAAGCCTAACACGTATAATTTAATAATTAAACTAAATAATGTATAAAATTTGTGAACCAATAACAACTTGATAAACTAGTTTTGACAGTAGCAAACCATATATTGTAGATGCATATAATATAACTATTGACACATGTATCAAATTAAAACTAATAATTAAACAAATGCAATTGAACACAAAATAAAATAATGAAAAATAGATTAAAAAGATCTAGCCTTTGAGGGTCTGTGAGGCACGTCGAAATGTTGTCCTAAAGCGACTGAGCATCCCTATGTGAAGGTATTAGCGGACTGTAGCGGCTCCAAGATACAACCCAGATTCAAAAATAAGAACTTCTCAGGGTTTACGTACATTGAAGAGTGGGAATGAATCTAATTTTACTCAAGTTGCCCAAAAATTAGTATAATCAAAATACTCAAGAATGTAGAGAAGAATAAAACCAAACTATTTTGTGAACAACAAACGAAGAATGAGAAGCTAAAAGTTTCTATCACTTTTTCCTCAAATGAAAACCGAAGGCCAAAAATTTCTGGTAGTTTTTCCTTTCAATTAATTACCGAAGAACACCCTTTATATAAGCAGTGGCTATCCAAGCAGGGGAAAGAAAATAGCAGTTGAAATAATGCTGTTGGGGAGGAAAAAACACAATGGTTGGACTGCTCAATTGGGTTGCAACTATTTGAAAAATCAAACTTGAATTCAAGTTTCAAAGTTCAACTGTCATATCTCATGAAGAATTCCTCCACATGTACTTGGTATAAAATAATCCAAAACATTAAATATCTCTTAGGAAAAAGATGAAAGATGGAACAATTTTTTAAAAAGAAAAAACTTAATTTATTCCAACAATCCCCCACAAGTTTTTTCTTTTAAAAACCAAATATATACAAATTATATATAAAAGAAAAATTGGGCGACTATAATATTGTGCAATAGGTATAGATGTCTTTCAGATTTGAATCTCACTTTAGTGTTAACTGTTTTTCTCTGAAAGATCATAGTAACCAAAAGTTTGAACCAAACCCTTTGAGTCAGAGTCCAACATGTTACACACATAGTACCGATATTAGTCTTGATTTGCAAAATTCGGTTAAACATGGCTTATATACTTTAACTATAAGTGGGTAACTAATGGATTAAACAAATTTTGACATGTCATTGTCTATGAAGTGTAGAAATACGACACGATAAAATCCAGCTTCTAGCATATTCCATGATAATTCGATTTCTAACCTGCTTATGATTTTGTTTCCTATGCCACAGGTCAAGATTGGTGATCTAGGCTTGGCAACAATAGTGGGGAAGACCCATGCAGCTCATTCGTTGTTGGGAACACCAGAGTACATGGCACCAGAGCTGTATGAAGAGAATTACAATGAGTTGGTGGACATATACTCATTTGGAATTTCATTGCTTGAAATGGCTACAATGGAGATACCTTACAGTGAGTGTGACAGCATAGTAAAGATATACAAGAAGGTGACTACTGGGGTAAAGCCTCAAGCATTTGAAAAGTGAAAGATCCAGAATTGAAGGCCTTTATTGAAAGGTGCATTGGCAAGCCAAGAGCCAGACCCTCTGCCTCTGAGCTTCTTAAGGACCCATTCCTTTCTGATGTTGCTGACTACGATGAGGGCGAGATTAACTAGTGACTTGAGTTAATATTTCGCCATAAACTGAGTTTAATGTTTCAATGCAGCTCGATTGACCCCCTAATGAACATAGGTGGGATTGAAGGTTACTGTCACTGTGGTAGCACTGCTGTCCAGTTCTGATTCTTTTGTTTCCATGTAATTAGCAAAAAATTGTTTGATTGAAAGTTGGATACGTTTGATAGTATAAAACCTTTAATCGAATAAGACACCAAGTCAGCTTCCACTTGTGCCTCCTGGGCCGGTTGACCCTTTACCAAACCAAATGGGGAAAATCCTAAGTAAGAAACCTAAGCTAAAAGTAGTAGTGCTCCTTCTTTCTTGTATCTAGAAGGCTTTTTTCAATATCTTTGAACACTCTGTTTGTTCTTGTGAGTGAAATGTTGAGTCCATCTGTTAAAGTAGTATCATGCTTTTTGGAATTCTCGAAGCTGAGAAAAAGTGTCGTTTCAATCTACACCTATGAACTAAGTAAACCCAATGGAAACCAAAAAAATGGGGGTACTGCATTGGGCAAAAAATGATCCAAAAGTAAAGACTCACCCAGCTGCAGAAAGGAGCTTTGAAAGCTTTACCTCCTTATTAAAAGGGGAAAAGGGCAACCTATATTAGTAATAATAAGATAGGCAATAGGTAGCTTACTTCCAAGCTAGCCTGGCGCCAGAAATCAAGAGATCTTTTTATGATTGTCTATTGTCTATATAGATAGTTAATAAACATTAACCTTTTAAAAGTCAAATTATCCTACATAAGATTAAAATTATCCATCACTTATCCCAAACAAACTAATGAATATCTTGTAAACTGAAAACAACCAAAATTGTTAATAACTGTTTTTTATATTAATTGAAAAAAAATCAATTTTTATAAAAAAGAATAATATATCTTTATCAAAAGAAAAACCCCATAGAAATGGGTGGAAAAAAACTAAAAAAAGAAGCACAATTGAACCCCAAAAAGGAAAACAGAAATAATCAAGTCTTCCCTTCAACAAAAATTAACCCCTTGACATCTTAATTGCATAATTTTGAGATAATTAAGAGTAACTATCTCAATTAAGCCAGTTGATTCAAATTGTTAATAACTTACATTCAACAGAATCAACAATATCACTCTCTCTTTATCATATTTGGAAACATAGTCTGAAAGGGCAACTGCCAACAATTGAAATATTTGAAGTCGAGAAACATCATTGTAATTACATAGGGAGAATAGCTAAACAACCATGGAAGGTCCAAATTCAACATGTTATACAGATAGTGGATCACATTGGTACAGAAAGCCCATGAAAATATGCTAGACTCAAACAAGCAAAAATGTTACTATATGACTGGAGCTGCCATCAGAATTGGATCACTCTGAACTTTATGAGACTCCAAGACACTTCTTGCAACTTCCATGACAGATTGCCCATTGACATAATGCTGGCGACAAACAGGCATGTATACATCAGCACCACCTATGAGCTCTGTCTGTGTGTCATCTGTCTTCCTTAAGGTGAAAAAGGCACGTTTGCCACATAGTTCACATCTCGCTGTC